TGCTATTTTCATCATTTTTTTTCCCCTTAATTAAGCGCTCTGCAAAACAGGATCTTTGGCTAACGTGCATCGTTTGCTGGGAACCAACGGGAAGTGCAGTAATAAAAGAGAACTAAAAGATAGAAATGCATATTTACTTATTAAAAGGGACAACCAAATAGATTGCTTCTGAAGAACTTACCGCGGTTGCTGTTGTTGTTGTTGTTGTTGTTGTTGTTGTTGTTGTTGTTGTTGTTGTTGTTGTTGTTGTTGTTGTTGTTTTTGTTGTTGTTGCTGCTGTTGTTGTTGTTTACTATTATTATTATTATGTTATTGTTGTTGATATTGTTATTGTTGTTTAATCTTTATTAGAACAAAACTACACTACATAACTAGCCGAATTAGATCTTTACCTTTTATTCAAACAAAAGTATCCTGACCTCACAAATTGTTTTCAAACAAAACTATACTAAACTATCTAAGCTATGTCTTTAATCTTTATTCTAACTCAAACTAGCTCAACTAGATCTGTGTAAGCGGTCACTTGGCGCAACAATGCGCCGGTGAAAATTATCCGTTCCGGTCACCAGGCGCAGTTCTGAGCCAGGCACAAGAAGTCCGTCACACAGTCGCTCTCCTGGCTGGGTGACCAGATAGGGTATTTTGTTCTGCTGGCTGTGTGACTGCAAAGTGTAAATTTGTATTCAAACAGAAGTATACTAGGCTAAAGCAAGCTAAACTAGCCCTTTTTTCAAACAAAACTATACTAACATAGCTAGATCTAACCCATTTTCTCGCTTATTTTACACAAGACATCACACGACCCTCACCTACTTCAATCGCAAATATCTCGACTTTTATTCAAGAGAGAAGAGGATTTTTGTTTTCATCTAAAACAAAACAAAAAACCCACCCCAGATTAAAGTATTAAAGGCTCCAATAACATCAAGTGCTCCAAATTGACGAGTGCCTGATTTCACCGAGTCATGACACATTATTCTAAAAGGAAGCATGCCAGTTTGTCACAAGCCCAGTTTGTCACAGGCCTCGACTGTGCTCTGCATGATGGAAGTTATCACTGACACTCTCAAAAAGAGTAAATGAATGATTGGTTGATTGTATGATTTGAATTTTATTTTTCAATTGTTTTTAACAAAAGAACATTAACTGCTGAAATTTTACAGAGTAATTTGTTTTTATTTGCAAGCAAAAAGGAAGAAATATTGAAAAACACATTCTGAATTGACATTTTAGAGGGACTGTCTCTACACCACCAATTTGAAGGTGGAGAGTAAAAAAAACGTAAGTGACAACTACAGTATAAAAGTGCTGCAATAATGACAGTCATCAATACTCAAATACTTAATTAAAATTATGATAAACTGAGCCTGTGACAAACTGGGCAGCCCCTTCTAAAACATTTCTAATTTTTGTTTAGTTTTAGTAGAGGGTTTTACGGAGCTTGCAACTGCATAAGGTCATATGAGCGCCAAGAGGTGGGTGTCAACAGAAAAGTCTTTACAGGGAATCAGACTTACTCTTCTCACCTCTCTAGTTTCAACAGCTCAAAGTCTGCTTCGACTATCAAGGCACCCCGGAAATAGCAGGTCACAAGAGTGTGACAAACATACAAAAAAGTAGAGGAAAATGACAACAGTAAGGATTAGGAAAGAAAAAGTAGCAGTTCCCTGTTGTAGATCAGGCAGTTATGAGCGTGACTTGATGAATCAGCCCATATACAATTTTACTGTGCATGAACGAAAAATGCCCC